TTTGTTTAACTAAGTTGGGTACATCTGCGTCAATGTTCCTCCACTCGGCCTTATCTTGTCTTTTCTGCTGCTTCTGAGGCCTAAATAACCTTGGCCATCTGTCCTTCTGTTGCTGTACTCGGAACATGAGTGGTCCCAACCATCTGCTGTACCCAAAATTCCATCTTTTCTTAGAAACTTTCCTTTGCAAAGGCTGCTCTATTAGAGTTACACATTAACAATCTACTCCTGCAAAGGTGCACTATCTAATCAGCCTTATTTGTACAGCTGTGCTGTTCACAGCTCAACCCTTTTCCATGTTTAAGGCACAAAATGGTCAGACTTTCAAACTAAACTCTTTAATTCAATGCAAAAGGTGACATGCATACAACTTTAATTATATAACTTTAATCATAGGTGCGCACTAATTCTCTACAAACCTTTCAAAGCGCTCTGTGCTGAGAACCTTCTTTTGCAGGTCAGCTATGTAACTCTTCACAACTGGACGGACCTCTCCATTGGACTCCGGTGACACTAAGCGGAATGACTGAGTTAGTCCTGGCTGAATAGACAGCTTGCGCAGGAAGGTTGGTCCAGTGAACCACATCGTCTGTGTGAGGCCTGCTGCTGGAACCGACTGTGATGCCAGGTCAGCCGGATTGTCTTTGGTGTTCATGTAGTGCCATTGTTCAGGGATGGTAGATTGGTGTTGGAGGGATTCAAACCTTTTGAATGCTTGCTTGCGGTTGTTGGGTAGCTGTTGCCTTGGTTGTCTGAACGGCAATGGAGCAACCCAGCTGTGTGAATTGTCTCTGCAGACCTCTTTGTCCATCATTTTTAAGAAAGTTTCATCTTCAATTGAAAGTGCTAGCTTATTATCCTGTTTGGTGCGGTTGAACACATTTTGACCCAGACTATCTTCCTTAGCTCTGGGTGGTAATGCACCATTTCTAGGCAGTCTGTCTTGAAGTTCCTCTTTAAAGTGCAAAAGGCTTGTGCATGACTGGAAGAGTGAGGGCCGATGACAGTCAACCATGGTCGTCCGGAAGGAACTGACGTTTGGCTTGTGTGTGTTCCCTAGACAGACTTCTCCGACCAGCACCCAGCCTAAGTCAAGGCGTTGCCCGAAGGGCGCATCGGCGGGGCCATTTATTTGTTCCCGTACTTTGTGTGCTCTGATTGCGTCTCTCCCTAGTAGCAGGAGGATCTCAGCTGTGGGGTCCAGCTCTGGGATGTGTTCTGCTACCTTTGACAGGTGAGGTTGATGAAGAGCAGCACTTGGTGTGGGAATTTCGGACCTGTTATCAGGTAAGTCATTACACTCAGTGAGTGGTGGTAAGGGAATTGTAACTTTCCCATCGAGAGACTCCACAATAAATTCTGATGCCCTTCTGCCAGAAGTTTCCACTAGCCCAGAACATGTTTTCAGCTGGTAAGGATATGGCTTAGTGTAAATGTCAAACTTGTCAAAGAAACTGGACTTGGCTAACGACCGGTTACTTTGGTCGTCTAATACGATGTAGGCCTTAATGGCTTTGTCTGGGTGGTCTTTTTGGTACACTCTTGCCAGGCATATTTTGGAGCATGACCGTCCGGCTTGTCCTGTGCCGCATACTGTTGTGCAGCTTGAGCTAATGTCACTGGTGTCGTTTAACCTTTCACCCTCCCCGCCATGCTGTGGCAAGGTCAGAGGAGTCATATGTTGAGATGCTGGTCCCGGGTGCATAGCTGAGACATGTTGGTTGCTGTCACACTCAAAACACTTCACAGTTGTAGTGCAGTCCTTTGCCATATGGTTGGTTGAGCTACAACACTTAAAGCAGATTCCGTTTTCTTTCAGAAA